ATAAAAACGCTGTTTGCATAGCAATTGAGCCGAGAATGCATGAATATTTTTATACGCTGGCAAAGAGGAAGTATCAATGAGAGTGGCTACCAAATGGAGTAGCAAATACTAATACCTACTATGCGTTATTTATGTAAATACTAGTTAAATGTCATCAAAATCGCAATGGTGTAACGAATGATGAGAGAGAGAATAAAATGAAAATACACTTTTTTAAAAATTTCCTAAATATAATAAATTAATTTTGATTTTACGTAATATACTTAATACCCTTCACAAATAAAAAAAAGTTGCCATAAAAGAACTTAATATTGATCGGCCAGTTTGTATGGCAGCAACATATTTATATGCTATAGTAGTCCGCTACGAACAATATGTTCAAAGATTGTGGCATTATCTTAAACAAAACAACATGACAAAGATATCTTGTTAAATAAAAAAGTTTTCCGTGCAAGAAATTGATTTTGATCGATCATTTTGTAAGGCAGCTATATGTTATAGTAGTTCGATATCGGCAGTTCCGACAAATAAGCAGCTTCTTAGAGAAAAAAGGTAGTGTGCAAAATTTCAGTGCGTTAGATTTTGCCTAATGATCATAAACCGATAATTAATCGATCATTTGAACGAATGTGCTTTACAATTAATAACGGCAATTAAACCGTTTTAATTAATATATTCATATAATACAATGTGACGCCTTTTCAAAGCCATCAATCAGCTGATTGTGTCGCTGCTTTCGTTGGCAATATTTAACTCCTATTTATTCCTTCAACGATTTGCTTGTAAGTATGGCGAGTATGTTAATATTTATAATATCAACAACGCAAATATTTAGACAAATCACATTTTAATAATAATCATATAACATAAAAGGTAATAACGAATAATTGTGTATGGAAGTGTGCGAACAGGCTCATAATTGATGAGCATAGCGGTATTAAATTCAAATCAGCGTATTTATCAAAACAGTAATACAGTAAGCAGGCAGATTAGTTTTTGAAAATGCCATTGGCAAAGTTGCTATGGCGAAATTATAAGTATGGTTGCTGAATGTATAGCAAGAATACTCGTTTTTCATTTCGGTTTTAGTAGAAAAGCTCTAGGAAAAGTTGCGTCTTTAATCTTAAACTCTTTTCTTTGTGGTAAACACTCTCCATTATGTAAGCTTAGTGAGTTGTTGGTACGATTTACCACTCTTCAAATTTTTGGATATAAATTTTGATGGATTTTTAATAGCATTTCTATGAGAATATCGGGAAAGCTTTTTTGATCATTTATAACATTACCATAACAGTTACAGCCTAGTAGCTTACGAAGGCAAGGCTTTAGACTCATTCTTTTCTTTTCTAAAAACCAAGTCTCTGCTTACTCTCTCTCATCACTAGAAGTCTATGAATACAAAAAATCAATTGCTTTCACTGAATTTTTGCCCAATCACTCTCAAAAGCACACAACATAAATAAGATTCATAGAATTCCTTACTTATCTCATCATAGTAACAATTTAAGTGTCTTTGCTGCGTGTCAATACCACTAATTTGGCGTGTTCTCGAAACTTCTTTGACAAGTTGGTATTAAAATGTTCGTTCTGTTTTTGATAACATTACTTGTAAATCTAAACTGTCACACTTCGTACCATCATTTGACATGTTATTATCTGCTTAGATTTTTGATGTTATGAGGTGTGGGTATCACCGATGCGACGCTCAGATTTTGCTACTTGTGGCGTCAGTAAAGCTAACCATAAATTCTTTTCATTTAATTTTGAAAACTATATGGCGCAGTCGTTGAGTAAGTCTCCATGAAATGATAAAGTGTGTGGTTCTAAAGGTAGAAAAACATAGCAATAGACGATTCTGAACAATTTTTTATACAAATTTTTCCAGTCTAACTTGATATTAGTTCAAAGGCGGCTTCAAGCTTCCAATATAAAGAAAAATGCACACCAGTATCGTGGATCTGAGTTTAATATTATAATATGAATTATTAAATTTTCGAATTTCTGATAATGCGGTTCCCGTTTTTGATGAACCATTTATGAGCTTTAAATGCGTGGATACCTCAGAAGCGCTGCCTGAAAATGTAAACAAAATTAATCCTTTTAGCCATTTAGCCATAGTAGGTTTTCAATGTTGTTGTTGTAATAGCGGCAGAAACCATTCTCCAAATAATAGGGAGAACATAACCGAGTACACATTCCTTGGTCGGATATAAAACCGAGTTCGTTACGGTTACTTAGATCAGATTTTCGTGTCAACGGCTTGTCAATGCCTTTGGAACTGCTTGGTTTACACGAAAGATTTATGGGTTTTAAGTTTATGATATTTATTTGTAGATCAAATCCAAGATAACGATAATACCACACTATTTAAAGGCTGTCTGATATTAATCTATAGACCGAAACCTCAGAACATTTCAAAGTTTGAGCGCAAAACGACTGAATGAGCTAGCGGTACTAAATCTCTTTTCAGAGACAAACGTAAAGTTGTCGGAACTTTTTAACTTCTTACAGAAAAAAAATATAACTGGATTCCTCCATAACCGAGCCTGCTCATTAAACGAGCTCGAGCTCTGCTACGATGAATGAGAGTACTAAAATGAAGCCAGCAACCACTGTATGCATGCTAACTGGAGCTTAATTAACAGAATAAGTAACATAAGAATGATAAAAGGAGTGAGAGCATATGACAAAATGTCATTATAATAACCTAAAAAGTGTAATACTCAGGGCAGCTAATCAAACTACAGTGGAATATAAAAAAAAAATAAAGGAAAGAAGAGACAAGTATTTTTGTCATACATTTTGTTTACATCACTCATTACTTGAGTGCTAATTACAAAATCGGTTAATGTAATCTTAACATATTATTAATTACATAATGATAACAATGTGTTGATATTATTAATGAGTGATTTTTAATTGTTATTGAACTGGCAGAATTCAGCCAACAGCATTTCAATATAAAAAACAACGGAAACCGGAATCGGCTTTAATGCAATGAGAAGACATTCGTCACACTTGTAAAATAAATTCAGCTGCTTTTCTAATTCGGTGTTTTGGGGTATTCTTTATTAATTACTTTCAGACGAAATGCAGATCAAGCATATTTACAGCGTTTAAGGTTTTATATACACACATACAAATCTACATATATTTGCATATATATTTACCGTCTTAAGTGAATTTAAACCGTTTATTTTTTAAAGTCAGACACATTATAAGCTTAAGGGCTCGGTTAACAGGTATTTATGCATATTTATTATTACACTTGCCAGCCACTATAACATTAATTCCATAAATAAATCGCCCACACATTGGAATCAAGCTCTTCAACTGAACTGCATATACCTATAGTATATACTATACGTAAGCCGTCTGCGGTCAGGAAAATTAGTTAACCACAGTCTTTACTTCTTGAATACTTTTCGGTTGCTGAAAAGTTGCAATGTAGTACAGTTTCTGGCTATGCCGTTAGAGTTAGGCCACATTGAGGCGCCGCGAGCTCGCGAACTACTTACTATTTAGTGCTGAAGTCATTGCAAAGTGAAGTTCAAAGCTGACTTTGAGACTGATTACAGACGTTATCTAAAAACGAGTACCAAATAGGTAGAATAGAAGACCAGAGTCAAAAATAGGTAGAATAGAAGACCAGAGAGCTGTTCTAACAGCCGACGATAGCTTGGATGTATTTCTTAACACATTTCTGCCATCGCACGTTCGAGGTCAAAGCTAGTTGAAGCCCATGACGGAAAAGAATTGAGTTCAGTAGCAAAATTGTTCTTGTTGTAGCAGCAGAAAACCTGTCTAAAGCATTGCTCCAAAGCTGTCGAGTTGACAGACCGAATAAGAATCCGCGTTCTTTCCGCTTACGTAAACCGGCTGACTCAAAACTGTTTTTCATCCCTCGTTAGACGATAAATTTGCAGTTATTGCGAGATCTTTGCTGATCTATTGTTATAACTTGGAGACTTCTTCGGAAAAATCAATGAGATATTTGCTGATCTATTGTTATAACTATTTGATCGCTTTAAACGTCTAAAAAAATGAAAACGTGAATGAAGTCATCAGTTTGAGAGTTTAGCTCATTTCATACTACGAAATTTGGATAAAAAGCTGCAAATTTATAAGCTATAACTGCAAAAGTTTTCACTTTTGAGGACGTTGGTGGCTGTCGTCTGAGTTATCAACCGCAAATTCTGGACTTGCACAATAAAATGTCAAAAGGTTTAGTAGTAGAAAGATGTGCTGATATTAGACTGGTGCAAAAATTTAACGGATTTGCTGGAACGAGTAACATTTTGAACCGTCCATAAATCGGATTTCTCTTCTAGTTACTGATTAATTTACCGAAGCGAAGCAAGCCCATCTTCCGAAAAAAAATCCGTTTGTATATACGCGAACTAGTCTCTCTTCCCTCCCCTTTCGAAATTTTGCATATATTCTTTGCACCCCAAGAAGCTGCTCATTTGTCGGAGCCGCCAATAACGATACACTTTAGCATATAGCTGCCATACAAACTGACCGATCTAAATCAAGTTGTTGTTTGGAAAACTTTTTTTATTTGACAAGATATCTTCTCGAAATTTGGCATAGATTATTGTCCAAGGCTATGCTACAATCTCCGCACAAATTGTGCAAATCGTACAATTATAACATATAGCTGCCATACAAACCGAACGATCAACATCAAGTTAAACATATTTTTATACGCTTTTATGCTATAAGAAATGCACCCGTGAAGGGTATTATAAAATCGGTGCAGTCGAAGTTAACGCTTCTCCTTTTGACATACATAACGGCTAACCGCACTTTTAATTTTCAGAATAAAATCAGAAAACATTGGACTCAGTGCCACAATTAGTACTTAAGTAGATTATAGCTGAGTTTTTATGAGCTAATTTAGTACTTAAGTTGCCAAGCATGTGTCGCACCTTCAAATGATTTTTTTGCACATTTTTGATTTTATAATTTTTTAAATTAAATAATTTGTTTATTTGTAGTAAATACTCAACCTACAGTGATAAAATGTCTCACAACAACTGCTGCACTGCCGCTGATCCTGCGCGTCGGCGTTAATTCCAACAATTGTGCGTTGCCAACAATGTAACCAGACTGTGTGGTTTCGTTTAAAATCTTTTTAATAATGCACTTAATTTAAATAAAGTGTTAACGGCACAAAATGATAATTTTTATTATTATTTAATTGCACGCTTGTAAAACATTTAAGTAGCATTTAAAAAGTCGCAAGGCGTTAACGACTTGTAAAACAAATTGTGTTGCGCTTCTCTTATTTTTATTATTTATTTATCTGTTTTTTTTTATTTTTTATTTTTTTTTTTTTTGTGTAATATTTATGCTGCGCTTGTGACTTTACTTGTACAAGAAATTTATATGCCGCCAAAAGCGATTTATTTAAACGTTTTCTTATATTATTTATTATTAAACAAATTCAACATTTGTAATGCCAATATTTGTATATTTGTGTGTATGTGCGTATGCACTTAGACTTGTTACTTTCACGCCTTGACACACGATTTAGCACCGATAAAGCCACACCACCCGCCGCGTCTGATTGACTTACTGGCCGTCAAATATACAGAAATATGTTTGTAGTTGCAAGCGTTCAGCGCACAGATTGATCGAGTTTTGCGTGCGTATGGACAGACAGCTCAACGCCAGGCGACGTTTACAGCTTTGTAATGAGCTGCTGCTCGTGTCGTAATGCGATTTATTTTTTTATTTTTTTTTTATTTTATAAAAATAATTAATTTTTTTTTTTGTAATTTTTTCGAATAAATAAATAAAGTTCGTATTTTTCGTAAAACTCAGACGCGTGTGTGCGCGTTGAGTCGCGTTTACGTATTAGTTGCGCGTAAGCTTGGCGGTTTAAATTTACGTATTATTATTATTATTTTTTGAGTTAAAAATGTATCACTGCAAACCGGCATACGCTCACCGGCACGTCCATCATATGACTGACCGTTTGCCAATGTGCAACGCTAACGTTAAATGAAAATTTTCTTTTTGCACAAAATCGAATATATTTAAAAAAAAAAAGAATTTTATAATAAGTAACGATAAAACGCGCTCACAACACAGATTGCTGAACCGAGTTTTCTTGACGCGCCTTTACTGTGTTGTGGCTGTTAACGTCGTTGCGCATACTGACTGCTGCTCCTAAACGCTTTACTGCTGATGTTGCTGTTGCTGATATTGGCACGACTGTGATTTGTTGCTGTTGCTGCTGCTCGATTTTCAATTTCACACCAAGTAGCGCTGAGCATTGCTGCCGCTCTATATAGCTGCGTACGTGTTAGTGATTGAGTTGTTATTATTGTATATTCGTTACATAGCGTTAGGGGAAGTAACGTTGGCGATCACAATCGCGATCGCACGCATACACACGTAAGCGCATAACACAGGCGCAGAAGTGAGCAGCGCGCGTAGGTGTCACAATAATGCTTTCGCGCACACTCACACACAAAAAGCGGCGCACACATTTTGTTTAACGCTGCAGCTAAAGTCGATCGCGGCGCGATTTAAAATGTCGAGCAAAAGCGCTATTGCTTACAGGCACACAGAGATAAATATATGTATGTGTGTATGTATATGCACGCAAATTGGTTTAGCGCGCAGTTGTATGTAGGGACAGACATTCAGAGCGCTGCTTAAAGCGCCTTTGAAGATTTCTAAAGCACAGCAGCAAATATCCGCGTAATTGAGCAAAGCTCGAGCGCAACGCGCATATTTTGTTGTAATATTTTTCAAGCTTTTATTATAATTTATTTTATTCTATTCACTAAATAAATCAAATTCGCTTTCGCAACACAATATGAGCGCACGTCGCTGACGTTCTACCACCCCCACCAGCCATACGCCGGCGCTTTGTTGTTGCACATCTATAGACAAATTAACAGGTAGTTGTTTACTTAGATTAGTAAACGACTGTGTGTATGCGTGTGTGTGTGTGTGTGTTTGTGTGTGAGTAATCAGTGGTGACAAGCGCTGAATTTTTTGACATTTCTGCTGTCGTCTTCAATTTCAATTTTTAACTTTTATTTATTGCATGCCATAAAATACGTTGTCAAACATATATACATACAAGTACATACATTTATGTTAGAAATAAAACGCTCCCCGAAAATTCGTTGGCCATATAAATACGCCTGTCGAATTCAGCGTTGCTTACGCACCCACACATACGCCGTCACAAACACAATTACAAAACAGCAAGCGAAGAGCGCTTTTCGCGATCGACTCGCATAGGTTTGTATGTATGCACATATGTATCGACACATCGCTTAGTTTGTCATACTAAAGCTAAATAAAATAAATACAGATTGTAAAAATAACATATTTTTGCAATGTATAGATAAATTTTAGCTAAGCAAGTAGTAAGTATCGTATGCATTTTTTTTTTTTGTTTTATTATAGTGTTCTCAAACGCAAATATTTTTAGACAGACAGTAATCGGAGCAGTTACGTACTCCTTACATTTTGCTACCTCACTAATGATGTGTAAATAGCGGTAACGCTTTCTAAAGCTTACTAAAAACCGGTAACTCGCTAGTGAGTTCGTTTCAAATGCAAAATTAACACTTATTATAGTGCAAACTTTGAGTTAAAAAATTTAAAAATTCAAAGCAGTTTTTGTTTAATCAGAAAGGAATAGACTTAAGACCTAGATTTTATATGTGCTTTGCTAGGCGAGCGTTTCGAATTAATTTACTAACTGATTTTTTTTACAATAGTTTTAGTAAACGCGTATAATGTGGCAGAGTGGCTGTTGTTAAAAATATGCTTTGCCTCAGTTACATAATTAGATAGATTAAACCCAACCTTTATTCTTTTTCATTATTTTTATGTTTATTTCAAAGCATCTTATTTTAAATGTATCAATAACTAAGCCCAACTACGTCCTACTTACCTGTTTACCATTTTGTGCTGCTTCCAATAATTTCCGTTGTCGAATTTTTTCAATGTCATACTTCACAAAGGGCGTTCGCGTACAATTTCCTTGAATTTCCTGAACTTTTCTATAGCACATTTTGCATCCGTTTTTGCAACACAATTAACGTACTGATATTCACACTAAAACCATAACACGTTTTAAACATAAATATTTGTACATTTAATGGCTAGTTACAGGCAATTAAATCACTTCTATTAAATTTAGTTTGAACTGTTGGCAGACTGATATTGACGTTCGATTAACGGAAGTGCTTGTTGTGAAGTTTGTTTACTTGAGAATGTTACGCCGTTGCTTGTTGTAATAATGACGGCGCGGCTTTACGCAAAGTTTTAATGATGCTTGTTAGTAGCGTATATTATAGTTTTTCTCACAAATACTTAAAATTGTTTGTATTAATAAATGTAAAACCGATTACTCCAATTTTTACACTCAATAGTTATACACTCAACAAACACGACGCTGTGAAGAGTGTACATATTGTATTTTTGTAAATAAGAGGAAATCCAAAAGTGTTGATTATGACAATAAATAATTTGTTGACGCTAAAATATACTACTTTAGATGACAATGCAGCAAAAATGACAACAAAGCGAAAATAGATGAATTTAAGTTACACCAATACTCGTAAATTATTGTACAATCGTATATGTATACAAATACATAAGTATATGTATATTTATATGTAGTATGCGCACGCACATTCATGTAATAGCAAGCTGTAAGAGGTAGCGAATCTGCAAATAAGCAACACAAACAAACAGTAGCAATGAATTAAATGTATTATCACCTTAACGATGCGCCTGTTGCTGGCCGCAGAGGCTGCAGAGCATACAATGAGCTAACAGTTGGAGACTAACCGGCGCATTTTTAGTGCGATTTACGCAAAAATTAATATTTTTTAGTCATAAGTGAAAATGAGTAGAGACTCAGAAAATTTAATATTTAAACATTTCTGTGCTTGTAAAAGAGAAAAAAGTGTAAACACATAATAAAAATTTGTAATCAAAAAGCATAAATAAATAAATAAAATATAAAACAAAATAAATGAAAAATAAAACAAAATAAATATAAAATAAAACAAAGTAAATAAAAAATAAAATAAAATATTAAACACTTTAAGTGAAAAAAAATATAATGAAAAATTTTAAGTTTATAAAAATAAAATTTAAGTTTAAATATCAAAAAAATATATAAAAAATAAAAGAAATAAAGTTTTAAATATAACGACTGAAATCAAAGTCCTTACTACCATAAATAATATACATAAAGTTGAATTGTATGCATTTTCTTAGCATAAATCGAAAATTGTAGTCAACCCTTAGTCAAAAATAACAATATATACAAACATAATTTATTACCTTTACGTAAAGAATTTAAATATAAAAAGGAAAGCAAAAGAAGATATGTATCATCACTTTCAACCAACTAACCGCGCCAATAAAATTGATAATTGACTTTAGATAAAATAAACACTTGAAGGCGCAGCTAAGGAGTTGGTTTTTTTACATACATACATATATTGAAATCTATGGGCAACAGATGGGCATACAGAGATATCACCATAAGCCGCTGGTCTTCAAGGGTGCCTGTGACGTACGCGTGTGCTATAGGAGTGCTAGACTAGCCCTTGGTATGATTATATGTTGATTATTGACATATTTTATTTGCATACATACCCAAAATTTATATGTTCTGGAAAATTATCAAAATTGTCGAATTGTTATTTTTCTTTTAAGTGAAACACGATGTATCTCCACCTGTCAAAATTTCTAAATTTATTTGCACTAGATATATTTAAATTGATTTTAATGGATGACCGCCGATCAATCAGATAGCGTAAAAAATGTTATTCCAAGTACCTGTGTGTCTGCTTTAATTCCCCTCAAGAGCTAAAAATTAAGTACACACTTAAGGCCTAGATAGACAAGTGTAAATGACACATCAACAAGTGCGTAGGTATTCAAATTAATGCGTAATTTACAAGTAAACTTCCGCCGACAAAGATTTTTATTACAGAGATGGCTATTAATTTATTATTACTATATTTTTAAAATGCGCGCTAAATGCAAAAAAGAAAGTGTCTTGTGATTTATGTGTTAGCTGTTGACAGACTTTTTAAAATATTTTAAACGAAATCGAAGTGTGAAATTTTATGAATTCTGAACAGTGAAGTAGGCTTTATTTAAAAATATAACGCTATATGGTAATATTTAGTATTTAAATTAGACATAATAACTATTAGAATTCTTTTTTGTTTTCATTTAGATGAAATAAATTTAAATTTATATAAAATTCAATAAAACTAAAATTTATTTATCGTTTAATCAATTTCGACACTCTTACATAGTTATATAATTTATTTACAATATTTTATATACGATTTAATAATTAAACATTTAATTTTATTGTATTATATTAGTTTATTTTAAAATGTATTTTATATTAGTATTAAATAATTGTTTTGCTTGTCACTTTTTATATTTATAACTGAAATGTATCTAAGCAAACTTGCACCTCTAAACATACCATAAACGCTAATCGAACTAAATCCTGTCACCATAAATACCGATTGTTTTTTAACAATCAATCAAAATAAAATAATAATATATAATTAGTATTTAATTGAATGTTTTTACTAATCAAAATATAAGTAATAATATATGTATTTAGTAATAATGTTAAATTTACATATTGCTATAACTAAAATCATAGATAAATCATATAAGCCTCTAAATTATTAAAGCTGTTGAATTTAACAGATTTCAATATTTAAATACATAAAATTACTAAATTTTGAACAACACATAAAAGTTGTAGTGCAGATACTGAAAACAAAAATATTTAATTATTTTGTGAATTTTTTGCCAAATCTCGCGCGCATTAATTATATATATATTTAACAAATTTTATCGAAAGCCCACTTAAACTAATATTAAAAATAGGTGGTTTTTTCAGAAACTTGCAACAAAAAAACACAACTCGCAAACAATTTACGACTCTTGGTTAGTTACATATGCGACTGCATTCATGCTTGTTAATAACTTAAGCAAACAGTCAATGAAATCTAAAATTGTTTAAGTAACTTTGCTTATATTTTTCGATGACCCGCATAATGCTTTTACTTATATACATATGCACATAAGTTAAAAATTAACAGGCAATATTAACAAACGGGCGATTTTTAAGATTGAGGTTTTTTAAGATTGAGGTTAATACACGAATGAAAACGTGGTGCGCAGGAAACATGGTGCGGTAATTCATTATAAAATATTGGCACAGAAGTAAAATTAGACGCATATATATGATGTATATGCAAATAAATGAGAACATTAGAAATAAATGTACAAATATTATTAATTAATCACTCAGTGATAAGCAATCACAAATTATTTGCTAGAAACCGATAGGTATATAATTATTTGTATGTATTTTTATAAATATAGTGCTTTAAAATATAATTTATGAAAATATGGCGTTTTTTCATTTCATAGGAAAAGTACAAATTCGCAACTTCCATTTTCATATTCACACATCCACGTACAGAAGTATATACCATATGTATGTGTATACAATAACTCATTGTTTACAAATATTGATAATGAAAAGGAAATCAGTTTAATTTATGAGAATAAAGACTAAACGTAAAACTTAAAACTTAAAAGTAAATGACATACGCGTAAGTACATAAGTATATCGATGAATTTCTAGAATATATCGCCGCAGTGCATTTTTAGTTATTTGTCAACATAGGGATAATTTTATACTTTTGCGTGAAACTTTGTTGTGTGTGCAAGTTAAGCTCATATTCTTGCACGGCTTTCTGTGTTCGCGCTCAAAGCGCATAAATACGCCTTTAAACACATTTGTTCGGCATTATTTAACATGTGATTCTGCAAGGCTTTCGCTTGGTCTTGACTACAAAAACGAGTACAAAAGAAAAGACAAACAAAAAACGTTGGCACATATTATAATTTCGAATTAAAAAGCGTGCACAGGTATTTCTGCGGAAATACTTGTGTAAATTGTATGGCATTACTCACATATCGGGCAACACATTATCATTGTTAACATTCAAATTGTGTGTATAGAGATATAGATGTTTCAAAGCTGTCAAACGATTGCCGCCGGTGATGGGTGGTAGTTTTATTAGGGCTTGTTGTAGAAATTGCAAAACACGCAATACTACATTAACACAGATCAAAGTGGGCGTATTCTCTGCTGGAAGCTGATCAATGAAGGACTTTTGTGCACGAATAACGGACTAAAAACAAGAGTAAAACGATTGGGTCAGTGATGGCGTTGCTAAGCAAATATAGTGTCTTGAAGTTTCGCTAAAGAAATGTGATATTTTTTAGAAATTTTTGTTATCTAGCCTACAGCTTTTCAGATAAGTTTTGAGCTTATATGCTTGGGATTTCTTTTATTGTTTTGTATACGTATTTAACAGTTAATTGTCTTGCTAGAAAGTTTAGCATATTTATATTGTGATTATTTGAAGCAAATTTGAGGTTACGTTTTATCGTAATAGCGTGAGATGTGATATATATTATTTATTTTCAACTTACATATATTTAATTTTGTACTACCAAAAACCTAAAAGCATAGAATTTTTTTCTACGACTCACCTGTATAACGTCCATTGTGAACGGTGGCTTTTGATTGTACAAATTGTATACCAATACGGCAGAAATATGTGTAAATATTTTGAAATGGTATTTTGTTAAAGCTTTCATAAATGCAAATAATTCATCGGAAAACTTATGTGCAGTCTGTGTGGAAAAGAAATGGTTAAATGACAAAAAAAATAATGTTTCAATAAGTAAATGCAAAATTTAGAGATAATAAGTTATTTTTGTAGAAATTAAAATTTTTTAATTTGGCAAGATATCTTCATGAAAATTTGCATGGACTATTGTTGTTATTGTTGTTGTTGTAGCGGCAGAATTTCGCCGAGTTGGCAGTCCTTAGCCGGATAAAAATCCGGGTCCATTCCGGTTAGGTAGACCCGACTGTCATGGGAACGGCATGGATTATTGTTCAAGGCAACGCTACAATCTCCGAACAAATTGTGCAAATCGCACCCCTATAGCATTTATCTAGCATACAAACTGACGCATCAAATGTAAGTTCTTGTATTGACACTTTTTTATTTGTAAAGTTGAAATTGCGGATGAGATTTTTGAAAATTGAAAATTTTAGCGGTAAAATGTAAAACCAGATGCGATAAAGTTAAAATTTAAAAAGCTAAATTTAAAAAAAAAAATTTTGGTCTTTATTGCATCTGTTTTTACATTTTACCGCTAAAATTTGTAACTTTCCAAAAGCTCATCCTCAATGTATGCAATATATTTAAAAGAGAATAATGTTACTCACCACACCATAGCGCAAGCATAACTTCCAAGCTGCTGGCGTTGGCAGTTCAATATCTTTCGTTGAGTGCAGCTTCGTGAATTTGTTAAACATACTTTGCTGAAAGCTCATTATATGCTTAGGATGCAATTCCGACTGCTCTTCGCTGACAACTTGTGTTCTTGGCTTACGCTGTAAACAACTATACAGCAATGTTTCAACCATGACATGATATGGTTGCAGCTTAAGTTGCAACTTGGGTATGTCAGAGGCTTCACGAAATGTGTAATACAAATTTGCAAGACAGAGAAAATACTATTGAACGAAAGAATATGTAAACTTAAAATAGATTTTGATTTAAAAATTTGATTTTTTTTAATAAAATAGACTAATTAAAAAAAGTTATAATTTTAATATTTTTTTTATATTTACCGTTTTGACACGATACATTTGTGCATTAGTTGTTGACTCCGCTTTGCTTAAACAAGCAACTAAATAAGTTTCCAAGGCGTGTATTTCACGCACAAGCCACAATTTTGAAGACTTCGTGAAATCTTTGTTGCGTGATAATTGAATACAGCCACTCACCAGCAAATCAATGGCGTAAACATCTAGTATTTATGAAAATTTTGTAGATGTAGAAAAATATTTTATTTAGAAAATTTAAAAAAAATACTTGATTTAAGTAGACAGCAATTGACACTTACCAATGAAAATTTCTTTAGCAGCAAACTTTTCTAATTGTTTAGTATCGAGCAAGCGCACATGCAGCGTTTTTAAAATATGTTCCAACTGATCAAATACATTATAGCCTAACTTCAATAAAACGCCGATTTTTTGTATTATATAGCAGTAGGCACTCACTTGCTGCGCACTTGGTGACTGTAGATATTTATATGTATATATATATTTCAAAGAAATTTTATAAAATTTGAAAAAATATGTACCTTTCCTGTATCAAGTGCTTGGAGCTTACGCTCTATGTCTACATATTGTGCATAAACGTGTAATCCGCATACATCTAATTTATAAAAATTTGTTGTCTTTTCAATGGAGCGTGCAAAATGTGCAAATGAAGCGTACAAATAGAGATAGTGCAACTTTGTATCACCTTTAAATGTCGATACGAAATGATCTTCATACTTAGGTAGTAACTGGAAGCAAAGTTATTTATAATACTATTTTTATTTTAGTATTAATGCCACTATACTTGTTTTAATTCAGCACAATTCTCACACAACAATTGCTGATCAGAAAAGCTATATAACTGCAGTAGTATGCCTTTCACGCATTGGCTATTTAATTCGTCGAATAATGTTGGCAATGTTTTATAAACGAAAATAAATTCGTTTGTATATCGCTCACGACCTAAAACTCACAATAAACAAGAAAAAATACGTTAATTTCGATGTAATACCCTTCACAAATACAAAAGATTTCATTCAAAAACTGGATTTTGATCGGTTAGTTTGTATGGCAGCTATATGCTATAGTGGTCCGATATCGGCGTTTCCGACAAATGAGCAGCTTTTTTGGGTGATAAGGACGTGTGCAAAACTTCAGATCGATATCTCAAAAACTGAGAGATGAGTTCGCGTATATACAGACAGACAAACATACATGGCCAAATCGACTCAGTTTATCATACAGATCATTTATATATATTTTTTATGGGATCTCCGACATTTCTGGGTGTTACAAACTTCATGGCAAACTAAATATACCCTGTTCAGTGTATAAAAATTTAGTAATTATTAAAATTTTGGTAAATATATATCAAACGTTGTGCTTATACCTGGTTGTTCCAACATTTTTTTATACACCACAACTATAAATTGTGCAACAAAATAATGCATGACAATTGGCACGTTCTCAGCATCTTTCAGCAAGTTAAAATATATTTCTATTGACTGCATATAGGGAAAATATGACCATAAAGCATTAACATAAGTAGTCATCAACTCAATATTTGTCTGAAAAAATTAAAGTTATATTTAAATCAATAACTGTTACGTGTGTTATAAGTACTCAGCACCGTTTCTTCCAAATAAAACTCCAGTACATGCTTTAGTATATGGTCATCATCGCATGCCTTGGCACGTGCCATTTTAATGTACAATTCCGCAGCAGTTAATGAAATATTTTCATCTTTATGCAATGCAAGCCCAAGTATTGCCTCCAGAAACGTTTTCGAGAAACATTCCAAATCAATTAACTGTCTACAATGAGTTTTCTATTAATAAATGCTTTTTCGTACAACAAAAACTTCAAGAATTTCTTACGGCTGCAATTTCTGCAAAAAATTGAGTGTGGCCATTAGCAAGCCTTTTGTCTTTTCCAATTTTAGAAATGTGTAGTAAATCTCCTGCATATCCTTTTCAATAAGAAAGCGTACAAGCTGACGGTGGTTGCTTACATCTTGCTGTATTGAAAGATTGTCCAGCATACGTATGAGGCTTTTGAAAATACCACAATGTGTGGCTTTGTGTTGCTACGTGAAGATGTTGCAGATTTTTATTATTGAAAATATGGATACTACGGCTATATTACCCCCACTCTAAAAACAAGGCGATAGAATTTAAATGCATCTTCATTAAAGGCATTCGATGTTGCAAAGTAATTTTCTACAATTTTACTTAAACCTTCAGCTATGTATGAATGACATTCCTCAAAGCTGTAAAAATTAAAATGCGAAATCTTAAATTATAAACTACATTACAAAACATACAATAAACCATGTAACGCGCTGTTCAGCAGGTATTTAGAAATTGTGTCTACACCGCAAAAGTCCACACTACATTTTGTTTTAATTTTGTGCACACCAAGAAAGAGCATGTAATCTGTAAAAATACTTAATTTGAAATGTATGCCGAAAATTACTTATTTTATATATGTATACTAATGCGCGCAATTGGCTCTACGAGAAACTTCACTTGCATATCGGCATCTTGTTTCTGCAAATCTATGCAACAATTACACCAAACACCCAGCAATTCGCAGTATAGTAGAAGTGCCTTGGATTCCGAGGCAGTTGCTTGTACCTTGCGCACTGCTTTACTTAGTTGAGTAAGAAAACGCTCAAAATTGTTGAAGAACGTGGCATCACGATGAAAAATGTAGCAACGGCAACCAGCTGCCTCCCAATCGAAATCTTTTCCCTTTTCCAAATCTTGTGCAGTAAACTGGGTGTGCATGCCAATCGCTTTGAACAATTCATTAATAAAATCTGCTGACGTCTCTAGGCAAAGCTCCTCTTGAGGCCCGGATCGAAACAGGAACTGGTTAATACATCGCGCTGCCACCACCTGCCGAATACATATTCACAATATAGTCCACATATATGTTTATTTATAAAGCAGAAGCTTACATCTGGTGTAGTACCACATTTAAGAGCAGCCACAAAATTCATATTTAAATCACTAAACAATCAAAAATATTAATTTCTGATAAGACGGGAATAACAATCAAGGTGACAGAAGAACCGTTAGCATTTGTAAAGAAACACAGAGTTGCAAAAAGCGTGAAAGCTGCAAACGGCTTAAATCGATAAGTTGCCATTAAACAATCGATAAGTGTTTTAAGTAATTGAGATACTTAAATTAACAAATACCTTATTATAATAATTGCATATTATTTTTAAAATTATTAAATTTCATCTCAATTATAATATGTTTAGCGTTTTTCGTTTTCGTATTAGTTTCGTGTAACATCATACAACTGACTTTTTAATCATTTCCGGTGTGTTCTTCCTCTTCCTCGTGTTTGAAAAAAAAAATATTTATCGCATACGGCAGCGCTATAAACAGCAAGACCAGCTGATCATTGCTGACACGTTTATTGCATATCTGCTGGTTGTTGCTTTTTTTCTACAAACTTTCAACTTATTTATAATTTTGGTGACTTCGCCAGTAGATGTAATAATAGCTAAATTGTAAATAAATATAGTGAAATTAATTATTGATACCAATCAATATATACATAGTTGTTATTGGCCAACACCATGGAACCTGAGCAAGACGAAAACTGGTACCTCCGCCCACTCTGCGACCCGCGAACAACGTGAGTGCATTATTAATATTTTTTCATCCTTAAGTGTATAACTTTATTATTTTTCATTTAAGTAATGCTCCTATCAAAGTCGCACCTGCCAAAGTTGCTATCAAGACCGAGCTGCAAGAACTGCGTCTTTCGGAAGCTTCACAAAAAATGACAATGGAGACACTGCGGGCAATACATGGCCCCGATTTTCGTCTCAATGACGCATCAGTTTACGCCGATCGCGGTAGTCATATGAAAAAGGCTTACTGGGAAGATCGTGGCACATTAGTTGTACATAGTGTCACGAACTACTCAGCCGACAATCAAAAGGCAGAAACGCCAGAGGACCGTTTGCGGCGTTTCGCTTTGCTAAAGTTGGAAAATTATGGATTCGCGGCCTTGCATTGTGCGGAAGCTTTTGATCACTGCAATGGAGACACCGATGCTGCGTTATTGTTGCTTTACCGTAAATATATGCGTGTACTAGTTACACAAACGGATGACGAAGCTAACGAGTTCTTGAATAATGATATAAGCAAAGAAGATCTATTGGAAATGCGTAACGATGAAAAAGCAGCCTTAGAATCTATTTATGATACAGCTTTTGAAGAAAAGGAAAAAAATACGGTTTGGAGTTTGAAATTCAAAATAGACCATTTACTAGTACACAGTCCGTCAGAGCGACGAAAACGTACTGGTATACCCAACCCAGCAGCAAACCAAAAAGTTAAACAAACAGTCATTGGAAAAGCGCGTTGTCGTAATTTTGAACGCGATGGCACATGTCGGTTCGGCAACAAGTGCCGCTTTGCCCACATAGCGCCTGCTATGGAAGTAGGAGAGGGACAGCGGAAAAAGCACGATGGTAGAAATAAGTGATTTGTTTAACACGGATGTTTTAAAAATTTTTGCCGCACTTTCAGATTTCCTCGATGGTAATGAAGAATACAACTGGTTTTTTCTGGAAATACGATTTCCACCCGATACCAAATATCCGTATGAAGCGCCATTTATCTACCTCAAAACAACATGCCACGATCTACCGCGTGATATATTGCTGCTTGTAGCACGTCGTTTACATTGTGAGGCACGCAGCATTTGCGCTGACGGTATGGGTTGTGTTTATAGCATTTGCGAAGCTATACAAAGCGAAGAGGCCTACTCACAGCTGCCGAAAGGCGATGCCTATCCATTTCCTTCAGATGCCAAATCACTTTTCGCCAATGATGGCGATGTCGAAACCACAACAAATGGCGGCCTGCCCGAAGTACTGCCAACACACTACGAACGTGGTCAGACGTCACATGCCGAACAACAGCGTTCCACCAAACAAACCGAAAATGAAGATCGTGTGCTGCTGCGAAAATTTCTACAACGACAGGAAGATGAAAGATACCGCAAAATGATGTTAGGACGTCGTAATTTGCCAGCTTTCGAGAAAATGCTTGAAATACTGGATTTAATAGAGAAATCGCAGGTATTTTCATATGCTGATAAAAAAACAAACATAATTGTTAAAAAGCAAATTATACCTTTAGGTCATTGTGATATCAGGCGAGACCGGCTGTGGCAAGTCCACACAAATACCGCAATTCATACTCGACAATTGGCTATTTCAAGCATCCAAACTAAAAGATTCCAATAAAATACCACACGTCGAAGTAGTGTGCACGCAACCACGACGCTTGTCAGCGATAGGTGTGGCTGAGCGTGTTGCCGATGAGCGCACCGAACGTGTGGGTCAAACGGTGGGCTACCAAATACGTCTAGAAAATAAAATTTCATCTACCACACGTCTAACCTTCTGCACCACCGGTATACTCTTGCGACGACTCACTGCCGATCCGCTGCTAAGTACCGTTTCGCATGTCATTGTCGACGAGGTGCACGAAAGAAGTGAAGAATCCGATTTTCTACTTATGATACTTAAAGACCTGCTCAAACAACGACCCGAACTTAAAGTGATACTCATGTCCGCCACTCTAAATGCCAAATTGTTTTCAGAATATTTTGGTGGTGCGCCAGTGTTGGATATACCTGGACGCACATTCCACGTCGAGCAATTATTTCTCGAAGATATTCTGGAAGTATGTGATTATGTAATGGAATGTGATTCACAATTTTGTCGTAAAATAACCAAAAAGGAAGAGGAAGAGCTAATGCGTGAATTAGAATACTCGGATGTAAAGTCGGAAGCGGCCGAGCCGGCCAGGAGCATAAAAGATGACAAGCTTACGTTGGCGCAAATGTATGGACGCTATAGTGGTGAGTGCTTTTTTGAAATTGCTTATCTATTTTTTTTTATTGTTTAAGCAGTTTTTCAACGCATTTATGTGCTTCTTTTAGCAATAATAGTTATTTATTTATATCTTCCAATTTGTCTACTCTGAAAGGAGTATATTAAGTTTGTAACACCCAGAAGGAAACTTAGGAGACCCTATAAAATTATATATGTATAACTGATCAGCGTAACGAGCTGAGTCAATTTAGACATATCCGTATGTCTGCATATACACGTACTAGTCGGTCAGTTTTTGTGATATCGACCTGAAGTTTTGCACACGTTCTTTTCTCTCCAAGCAACTCCTCATTTGTCGGAACCGCCTATATCGGACCACTATAGCTAATAGCTGCCATATAAATTTTTCCATCAAAATCAAGTTCTAGTATGAAAAACTTTTTTATTTGATAAGTTATCTGCACTAAATTTGGCATGGGTTATTGTCCAAGGCAGCGCCACAATCTCCGCACAAATTGTTCAGATCGGACGACTATAGCATATAGCTGCCATATAAATTATTCCATCAAAATCAAGTTCTAGTATGGAAAGCTTTTTTATTTGATAAGATATCTGCACCAAATTTGGCATGGGTTATTGCCCAAGGCAGCGCCACAATCTCCGCACAAATTGTTCAGATCGGACCACTATAGCATATAGCTGCCATATAAATTATTCCATCAAGATCAAGTTCTAGTATGAAAACTTTTTATTTGATAAGTTATCTGCACTAAATTTGGCATGGGTTATTGTCCAAGGCAGCGCCACAATCTCCGCACAAATTGTTCAGATCGGACGACTATAGCATATAGCTGCCATATAAATTTTTCCATCAAATCAAGTTCTAGTATGGAAAGCTTTTTATTTGATAAGATATCTGCACCAAATTTGGCATGGGTTATTGTCAAGGCAGCGCACAATCTCCGCACAAATTGTTCGATCGGACCACTATAGCATATAGCTGCCATATAAATTATCCCATCAAGATCAAGTTCTAGTATGGAAACTTTTTTATTTGATAAGTTATCTGCACTAAATTTGGCATGGGTTATTGTCCAAGGCAGCGCACAATCTCCGCACAAATTGTTCAGATCAGCACTATAGCATATAGCTGACATATAAATTATTCCATCAAGATCAAGTTCTAGTAGGAAAACTTTTATTTTGATAAGTTATCTGCACTAAATTTGGCATGGGTTATTGTCAAGGCAGCGCCACAATCTCCGCACAATTGTTCAGATCGACGACTATAGCATATAGCTGCCATATAAATTTTTCATCAAGATCAAGTTCTAGTATGGAAAGCTTTTTATTTGATAAGATATCTGCACCAAATTTGGCATGGGTTATGTCTAAGGCAGCGCCACAATCTCCGCACAATTGTTCAGATCGGACCACTATAGCATATAGCTGCCATATAAATTATTCCATCAAGATCAAGTTCTAGTATGGAAAACTTTTTATTTGATAAGTTATCTGCACTAATTTGGCATGGTTATTGTCCAAGGCAGCGCCACAATCTCCGCACAAATTGTTCAGATCAGACACGTAGCATATAGCTGCCATATAAATTATCCATCAAAATCAAGTTCTAGTATGGAAAGCTTTTTATTTGATAAGATATCTGCACCAAATTTGGCATGGGTTATTGCCAAGGCAGCGCCACAATCTCTGCACAAATTGTTCAGATCGGACCACTATAGCATATAGCTGCCATACAAACTGATCGATCAAAATTAAAATAAATATGTTTTATGCTATAATAATAATATATGCAACTGTGGAGGTATTATAACTTGTGTGCAGCCAAAGTTACGTTTTTTTCGTTTTCTTATTTATGTAGTGTTTTAAAATAATTTTATGTGATAAAATTTTCTTATTGTTCACACAATACAAGATTATTCGAAGAAACTTGCAAAACATCTACCTCATGGAGCCGATGAAAATCAATCCCGAATTAGTGGAATCTGTGCTCAAATACATTGTGGAAGGGAGCACAACTGGCCCAAAGAAGCCAATATTGGTATTCTACCGGTCTACAAGAAATCAAACCGTGCATGAAGCGCTCGGCGATAGCGCACTCTTGGAAACAGGTTACTACAATTAATTAAATTTTTGTGTTGCATACGCTCATCATTTAGTCTTTCTCTGCAGAAACGGTAACTTTATCGTCATACCGCTACACTCACACTCTCCAGTGAAGAACAAGCGTCCATTTTCGACCAGCACCGAAAGGTAAACGAAAAATCGTGCTTAGCACTAATATTGCCGAGACTTCGCTCACCATCGACGACTGCGTGTTCGTTGTTGACTACGGTTTGATGAAAGAGAAGCGTTTCGATGCTAATCGTAACATGGAGTCACTGGAGTTAGTGTGGGTGTCACGCGCTAACGCACTGCAACGCAAAGGACGTGCCGGACGCGTCATGCCAGGCGTTTGTATACATCTCTATACGGGTCATCGTTTCCGCCACAATTTCCTAGCACAACCCGTGCCAGAAATACATCGTGTACCATTGGAACAGCTGGTGTTGCGCATAAAACCTTACCTTGCTTCAGCGCCAAGAATACGCTGGAGGTGTTGGGGCGTACACTGGAACCGCCCACCGAAGAAAATATACTTTCGGCTGTGCGACGTTTACAGGATGTCGGTGCTTTAGATGAGACGCAAGACTTGACAGCGTTGGGTCACCATTTGTCAGCGTTGCCGGTCGATGTGCGTATCGGCAAACTCATGTTGTATGGCGCCATTTTCCAGTGTTTGGACAGTGTGCTGACAATAGCGGCGTGTTTGAGTCACAAATCGCCCTTTGTTAGTCCATTTAATAAACGCGCCGAAGCAGAGAAGCGCAAACGTGATTTGCTATATGCAATAGCGACCACTTGACTATGTTATTGGCGTATAAGGTGAGTGTGTTGAAAATTGATTGCCGTTGTTTAACTTATCGCACATTTAACTTGCAGAAATGGTTGGAAGTGTCGCGCCGCACCTTCTACGCCAGTCGCAATTACGCCGATGAGCACTTTCTCTCACTGAAACACTGGAAACCATTTCTGAGGTAAAATATCAATTCCTGGAATTGCTAGTCTCAATTGGTTTTTGCCCATGAACATACCGCGCAAGCGCAAAACGCCAGCGATAATATACTCGATTTAACTGGTAATATAATTTTCGTAGTAAATCAATAATATTTGATAAAATTAATAAAATTACCTATATTGCACAGTGGCGGACCTGAACGTGAATGGTGACAATAATCGTTTGCTCATATCGTTGCTTTACGCCGCGCTCTATCCAAACATTGTAAGGTGCTCACACCCGAACGCAGCTACATATCGACTGTCGGCGGTGCAATGGCCAAAATGCATGCGGCCAAGATTTGCGCTTCAAAACACGTCAAGACGGCTTCGTCGCCATTCACCCATCGTCGGTGAACGCGATTGGGGCAGCTTTCAATCGCCGTTCCTCATCTATCAGGAAAAGTGAAAACATCGCGTATTATTCATACGTGAGTGCTCTATGTTGCCGCTGGTGCCGTTGGTGTTATTGCTGGTAGTGATTTAAAATCGAATTACATGGTGGCGATTTTGTATTTCTGCTAGAAGAGGATTGGATCATATTAAAGGCGCATACGCATGAAACGGCCGAGATGATACAGTGTTTGCGTTTGGAATTGTTAAAATTATTGGAGAAAGATCAGCGATCCGTGTTTGAATTTGCTAAATCACGAAAATGGTTTGAAGATCATTAAAACTATTGTGCATCTTATAACAAACAATAATTAAGTGGAAACATATGCATCTGTGTGTGTGTTGTATGCTTTAGATAATGTGTTGTGTGTGTGTGTCGTGTCTGCGATTATATGTTGTAAACAAAATCGTGTGAAAACATTTTGTCTATAGGTGTGTGATACAATATTGTAGTTTTGTAAAATCATCTTTTCAGTTTGCATATTATTTTGAATAAAATAAAATTTAGACAAAGAAATGTAGTATTTTATTTTCTAATGTTTTATTTTATTAGACAAAGAAATGAAAACATTTATTTTAAAGTTTTTAAAACCTATTTTCTTCTCTATTGTTTTTAATTTAATTTATTTTATTTAATACTTTTTGATTGTATTGTATTTGTTTATTTTTTCTTTTGTAATAAGTTTTTTTTTTTTTTTAAATAATTTTGTTTATTTTTAATAATTTTGTTTATTTTTAATAATTTTTTATTTTTTTTTAATAATTTTTATTTTTTTAATAATTTTTATTTTTTTTTATAAATTCTTTTTTTTATTCTATTTTTATATTTTTCCTATTTTTTTTTGTTTTTTTTTTATTTTTTTTTATATTTTTTTTTTTTATTTTATTTGATTACTTATTTTGTATTGTTTTTGTTTATTTTTTTTTATCTATTTTTTTTCTTTTTAATATTTTGTTTTTGATAATTTTGTTTTGTTTTATTTGGTTCTTTTTATTTATTTATAAGAAACATTCTTTTTATTTTGTTTATATTTGTTTCTGTTTTGTTTATTGTTTTCTGTTTTTATTTGTTTTTTTTTTTTTTTATTTGTTTTCTTTTTTTTATTTGTTTTTCTTTATAAACTTTTTAATTTTTATTTATTTTAATTTTTATTTTTTTTTAATTTTATATATTTTTAATTTTATATATTTTTAATTTTATATTTTTAATTTTATATATTTTATTTTTATATTTTTATATTTATTTTATTTTTAATTTTTTTTTAATTTTTATATATTTTTTTTTAATTTTATATACATTTTTAATTTTATATACATTTTTAATTTTATACATTTTTAATTTTATATTAATTTTTAATTTTATATTATTTTTACAACAAAGTAAAGTAATTTGGTAATATACATATGGCTGTAAAAGTATTTCGAAAGCTTAGCATATTTTTAGGCGGATTAGCTCTTTGAATCATAAGCTGTGTGGTTATTGTTTATACAAACACTAACGATTTTGCTGAAAATTTAAATCAGTAGTCACAATTATCTGGTTTGAAATTACTCCGCCGTTTTCAAAGCTTAAGCGATTTTATATTTCAACCTAAAATGGATATTTCTTTTATTTTATTTATAATAAAACAATTTTGATATATAAAAACTGTTTTCTTGTATTTACTTATCTAAATAAATGTTTGCTGAGCTTAACGCTGAGAGTCAAGTATAACAGAATAAAAGCGTAACTTTAGAACAGAAACAGAACGATATAACTACACAGAATAGACCACATGTGTTATTGTTGTAGCTATTAGAAATAGAAATAGAACAAATTGAGGTTTGCCCTGCGACGTAAGATTTATTGTGACTTCTTGAAGACAGTTATGTTCATACTATCTATAGCTTGAGGCACTCAATATAAAGGCTTTAAGATTTTCTGTTTCTGTTGCCGATTCTGTTTCTGTTTCCAAAACTCTTTTACTAAAAACTATATAATTTTTACAGTTCTGTTTATAACATATTATTGACTTTATTTCATTATTTGTAATGACAATGGCTTTAAAATAGCTAAGCAAAAGCTTAAAAATCTATAATAATGTATTTTTGTTAAATTCTTTATTCACACAATAACAAAAGGGTTGCATTGTAACAAATAATTGTGTTACCTTATCTACAAATTTTACTAAGGAACCAAAGGAAAAAGAAAGAAAAAAATAATACCCCAATCACAGGAAATGAATAATAACACATAAAAGTTAAATATTGAATTAAAGTTATTTTTCTACCATTTACAATAATATAAAATAAATGTGTAGAAACGGATTAGTGAAATGTTAGAGGATAAAAAAGTTAAAAATATGAGTATAAAATTGATTATAAATCAAAGAACACACACTCTAAATAGTTGAATATTTGAACTTTAAATGCAAATATCCAAAAACCATAAATCGGCGGCAACTTAAGTCTGCGGCAACTAAATGTGTATATATTCTTAATCTGGAGAACTTCCTCTATCGGCACATACCCATTTTAACTCCTATATTCGGGGGATGCTATTCTAAAATTTACCCTAAATTATAATTTTGTTTAAATTTTTCGAATTCAAATTGTAGAATTATTCAAATATATATTTTTTTTATAAATTTTTACGTAATTACGTTATTAGTTATCTCACAAAACATAACTTCGAGTCCTGTAGTTTTATTTTATTTACCAAAATCACACCATCTGGCAACGGTATTAAGGTTTGTTTTGCGCCAAAGGAAAGCCAGTTGCCAAAACTATTTAGTTATTTTTGTATTTCAATTAATATAAATGGTTGTTCAACATTGTATAATGAAATACATAATTATTTAGATATACGATCCAAAGAAACAAGTGATAATACTATAGATATTTTAAAAATATGAGTTTGAGCCTTTGTCGGAAACGGCGCGTCCAGGACCAGGACGATGTGTCTAACATTTCCACAAATTCAACCGTAAATACGCAGCATCGTAGTGCACGACAACGCAGAAGGAACAATCTGCCTACTGAAAATGTGGAAAACGAAGCGGTGGCGCAAGAAGATGGCCCAACGTGCAGTCAGGCGAAAAGACAAAAACAGAGCGAGGGCACACTGGTAAACAGTTTAGAATGTGCTTTGGAATTTCCTTTATAAATTTTTTAATTATAGTCAAATTCCCAAATTGCACTAGACGCTACACGCTGTGGAAAAATCAAAAAGGTGGTTTTGGTAAATTTTATGTGCCATGCACACTACTGCATTGAGTTACATCCGCGCGTCAATTTCATGGTCGGTCGCAACGGTTGCGGCAAAAGTGCTATATTAGCGGCACTGGTTGTGGGTATGGGTGGGCGTGCGCGTGCCACCAATCGCTCAACGTCATTACATAGTGAGTATAAACTTTATAGTTCATATGCACAATGAAATTTAAAACGTTTTGTTCAAAAATGCAAATACTTACAAAAACGAGATTGTTAAACATTTGCCGTTTGTTTTTTTTAATTTAATTTTTTTTATTAATATTAAGGCTTAATCCGTAATGGTCAAAGTTCTGCGCGTGTCGAAATCACAATTTCCAACGAGGGTGTTGAGGCTTTCCGGCCAGAGGTGTATGGTGATGAAATAACAATTGTACGCGCCATTACACAATCGGCAAGTAATTATAAAATAAAGAATGCGGGTGGGCGTGTTGTGTCAGAAAAGTTGGATGAATTGAAACGTATTATGGACATACACAATATACAAGTGGACAATCCAGCTTTTGTTATGAACCAGGATAGTGCGCGTGAATTTCTCAAAGAGTAAGTTCAGTAATAAATCATATAAGTAACTCCTAATAAATGCCAATGATGTCATTTCCTTATCAGCATGGAGCCAAAGAAGAATTATCAGCTGTTTCTGAAAGCTACACAATTAGATTCAATACAAGAACAACTCATAAAATGCTATTATGAATATCAAGACCATAAACAACGCTTAATACATATTGAAAAGGTTTGTTATCATAATTACGACGATAAAATATATAATAACGTATAAAAGTTTAATTGTTTTAATAAAGAAATTGGAACAAGATCAACAAAGTATAACTGAACTTGAGACAGAGTACCGTAAAATATTATCTTTTTCGCAACTAAAGGTAATTTTAATTGCAACTAATTCTTGTTAATAATACAAAAAATTTACACATATTTGTTACAGCAAGAAACAAATCGGAAAAGGACCGAATATGAGTGGTCTTTGGTAAATCAGTTAGAATTGGCCCTTAGTGATATAGAAGAAGCGCTTTCCGAAGTTAAGCGCGATCGGGACAAACTTGAGGAGCAGGCGAACCGCAAAAACGAAATCGAAAATAAACTCAAAGCCGAAATGGAGTAAGTTTGCGAACACTTTTAAACGTTGTAAACTTTTGAATTTTTTTTTTTTTTTTAAATCTGTAGTACCTGCAGAGAAGTCATTGGCTTGAACCGCACAGAGTACAGTCAAAAAAAGGATAACTGTCAAGCGATTAATACGCGTTTGAAAGAGAAAGCAACAGTGTGTCATGGTGCCAAAATTGATGTGGAGAATTTAAAAAAACGAATTTCTCATTTAGAAACGCTTACTACAGATTTGGAGCAGAACATAGCGCAACGCTCAAAGTTAGTATAGACAAAACAACATAGATTTTAAAAGTCCAATCAAGTTAGGCTTTAGCTAATTGCTTTCATTTAATATTAAATAATATTACGCTTTTAAATTTAATACCGTCTTATTAGAACAATGGGCGTCGAAGAGCTACGCCGTCGCAATGAAGCCGAACTGGAGAGCTTACGCAAAGAGATGGCGGAGAATAAAGCTATGAGTGAATCAGCCAAACGTGACTATGAAATTTTTGTCGAAAACAAAACACAAAAGGAAGAGGAATTTAGAAATATTAAAATTCAAATAGATAATTCAATGCGCCGAATCGGTGAGTGGTGCAGAAATGCAAATAAATAGTGTTGTATGCATGAAATTTATATTTTAAAATTTAACTATGTATATTTATACGCCAAGCAAGGTATATTAAGCGTGACGAGTTGAGACGATATAGCCATGTCCGTTTGTCCGTCTGACTTTCCGTTTGTCTATCCGTATATCTGTATATATGTAAACTAGTCCTTCAGATATCGATCAGAAAATTTTCACACATTCTTTTCTCCCCAAGTAGCTTATCAATATCGAATCACTTAAAAATAAAGCTACCTCTTCTACCCGTTCCTTCGATAGTCAGGTTTAAGTAACTGGAACGGACCTGGATTTTTATCCGGCCAAAGACTGTCAACTCGGGACCATTCCTCAAAATTACTTCAGAAATGTTTTCTGCCGCTACTACAACAACATAGCTCTCATACAAACTGAACGATCAAAATAAAGTTTT